TTATGCGATAAGATTACTGCTCTGACTACTTCAAAGTAAACGCCCATGTCCAGGACTTACAAACAAATTTATTAGAAATTCCAGTCAGCTATAACATAATATGTTATATTATGAAAACATGTACAATATAAAATAAAATAAATTTTACCTTAATACCATACTACTTATTATGTACCTATTATAACTATATAAAAATCAATTATTCTTCAAGTCATAGGGGGGGGGGGGGCATTCGCCATACTTCTAATCAGTGGCGTATTTGAAGCCATTACTTAATATAATAATTGAAAGATTCCATAATTCTGACTAAGAAGGGATTATTATTTATTAGACAATTTGAAAGGGAAGTTGGATTATGGAAGGTTTTGTTGGATCTTGCAGATCTTGTTCAGTCCTATTCAATTTATGCAATCAATTCTTTTATAGCCATTTGTGTTCAAATGACGGTCAACTCATTTTATAGCCATAATGTTATGTATAAGGTCAGCTATCACCATAAACAGGTACGCTTCTTACTCGTAAATGGCTCAACATTTTATACTTTGTAAAAGGACTAGTGTAAAAATAAGTATGTATTACAGGATTTCATGATTACATAATCTTTACACAGTGTTTATCTGTCAAATATCATCGACAATGAAAATAAGGATACGTTTAACGTATTGTACAATATTATAAAAGCATGTGTACAATTCATATATTATTATATTATACCTATGCATATAAACTTTGCTGTCCTTGTCAATTATCACTTATACGCAGACACGCAGTTCATACATTTTTCTTACATTTGACGAGTTCCTAAGTTTATTTTATTTTTATTTTTATAAACTATATGGGAATACGGGATATTTAAACACAAACAAAGTAACATAATTTATTATTTGCCCACGTGCAAATTTTCGATTTTAAAAAAAATAAATATTTTTGCACTGCATGGTTTTTATTCACACGGGTTAAGTCAGTGATCACAAACGTAATGCCGTAAATACGCAAAAACCATTTTCGAGTGTCACAAGTCACAACTCGCAACAATAAAGCCACCCACATTTTATTTTAAGAATGATAACAACAAAGAGTATTGATTTTTCGGATATTCATTTAAAACCTATTGCAGGTCGCTCACTTATAATGTACCTATATAATATTTACCTATATACATGTAATTAAATATATTAAGTATAGCTAACATAATAACAAAAAAAGTTATCTATACTACTTTATAGGCAGTTTCACTGTGGGGATTTAATGAATAAATCTCCTACTTAAACTTTTATTTTTCTGATATCGAATTTATCTTATTATTCAATAACATACTGTGCTCTGATACACAATGGGTGTATTATCAGTTATCACTAAATAATAACTGTCACTATTACAGACATTAATCATAATTAGAAATACCTTCTGTTAATCTTGACAGTTGATAATTATGTGTTAATTCCATTTGAACTTAATAATATCCAAGCTATATCTACGTCATTATCTATTTTAAAATGCCATATAATAAAATTATTGTTTTTTATTATACATATTATGTAGGCACAAGGTACCCAATTGTGTAGCCGTTAGAATGGAACCCATTTTGGTCAAACAAATATATAATTGCATTTGTTTTATGATAATATAAAATATAGTACGATGTTTTAAAAGTTCACCAATAGTTAATGTTTATTTGGCAAGTACGATGCTGTTATAATACGTAATTTTGCTAGTAATTTGTGGAGATGATGAAGTTATAATACTTTTTTTTTATTGTTGATTTGTTTAATCAGTGAATTTAATATTAATAATGATTAATTCAATACATTCAGTCGTTACAATACCAATTTAAAGATTTTTTGGAACTGTACATTTCTTATTAGCAGGGTTTTATAGTATTATTATAAAAAAAACAATATTCTATTAGGCTATCGGCCCTCAATTACGAAATGCAACTATTATATTCCATGTCATATTTTGGTATACATAATATTACATTATTAAATACAGTATTACTTTTCCGCTAGCAATTGTTAAAATCATAAAACATAAAAGTTATAACCATTTTATAAAATTACCGGATGTGCTTACATATAAGTATATAACTATATAATACATAGAACTAATAACTATACTATATAGTTACACAATTACAATATAAGAATATTGTTATTTCGATGAGTCTTCATATTATATTTTATTTACTGGGTCTACGTGACATCTTTGGCAAATATCAAGTGATTATAGTTCAAGAGGAGTATTTCAATATGCTTGTCAAGTAGATATTGATATAGGTATTGTAAATAATTTGCATTAATAAAATATAAATTGTTGATTTATGTTTAATTTCTGACGAATATTATATTTATATGACTCAATATAATAATACCAAATAATGAGCATAACAATGAAATTAACGAGAATACAAAAATAGGTATGTTTGAATTGAAAACCAAATAATAAAGTATACAAATTGACTGTTCCGATTTTATGTAAGTAGGTGACTAGATTGAATACGTTAAATGTAGGTATAGCGTGACAATGATTATTGTATTGATATATTTTATTTCATATTATGTTTAAAAGTATTTATCTTGTAGGTTAGCACTATGTTTAAACGACGAAGTCAATGAAAATGCAACTTTATATTTAATAACTAAAAAGAAGGTGTACACTGTGTAATGGATGGTGTTAATGTTAAATGTAATACTTAATTTGGGAACGGAGTGGCCGAGCTGTCTAAGGCGTCGGTTGCGACGCAGCCGGCGCCTGTTCGATTCCTTGGTCAAGGGTGGCATTTTTCTTCGGGCAAGTCACGGTGTTGGGAAAACAAGTGCCGCCATCCCCCAACCGGGCATGGCAGATACCTACGGGTGCCCAATCAAAAATTCTGCCAAACACTCAAGTATAAAAACCCACCACTTCAAAACCCTACCACTAGCCAGCTAATGGCCATGGTGCCGGGCTTAAGGATCAATAAAAAAAAAAAAAACTTAATTTGAATTCAATGATATGATATCATTGTATACGAAATCTACAAAAAAGTACTTCGGAGAAGTAAAAAAGGCTTTTTGTGCTTAAGTTGAAGGGCGAGAAAATAGAATTTTGATGTTAATAAAGAAGTAAAATCAATCTCAAAATTCTGTGCCAAAAAGGCCCATGGTTGAAAAATTAGAATTTTGAGCTTAATAAAGAAATTAAATCAATACCCTAATTCTGTGTATTGTTGAAAAAGTTCCCGAATTTTGAGATAAATAAAGAAGTGGAATAAAACAGAAAATTCTGTGCCTCAACTCGAAAAAGTATCAATTCACAAAAATTTCAAAACTTTCAATTGTACAAACAATGAAAAAAAAAACAATTAGCACAGAACGTCGTGAATTATAGATTGTCAATAATAATTCGCGGCAGACAGATTAACTCGTAAACAAGTTGACAACTCCGATTTATGTCTAATTTTATCATTTATATACGCCGTTCTGTGCTAATTTTTTTTTTTAGTGAAATTGCAGGTTCAATTGCATGCATATCTACACTGTTTAGTTTTTTACCATGATTAATTTAGCCAATTGATTAAAATCGTTTTTGAGGAATCAACAAGGAAATGTTAGATTGTTAGGACTTGCTTTAATGACTTTGATGTTAAATTCATAGTAAGATATCATTAAAATATTTATATATATATATGAATCTGTCAATATTAAAAAAAAAAAAAGAATTAAAAAATTAATTGTACACAATAATTATAAATTGCGCAATTTTTATTTGTATTGTATATGTCATAATTATAACCACCCAGCTCCCTAAAAAATGTATAGTTATGGCTATATTATGTTAATCGTGCTATACTTGACTAGTGATAAATTGGCCTATAGTGAAAATAATTCGTATAGACGCCACTGGCTCATCCTGAGCCTTCATGGTCATTACTGGTGTAAAAGACATAATACGTATTCCTTATCTCGGAATATACAAGGGTCATCAAGAATGGTTCGATTGATCAAGTTTGTAACTATCGTGTACCTTATTGCAACCGATGCGTGTTATGACCAGCATATAGGCGCAATTTGGGTTAAATTTATGGAGGTGCTAGATTTATGTCAACTTAAGTGAAAAGTGGGGCCCCCACACCCCCCTCCATTCAAACAACTTAATTTATACACCTTCACGTTAATCTTAATATAAACAATTACCAATAACTTAATACACTTTTATCTATATTATTATTCTGATAGGTAACGATTATATTAATAAGTATTATTATTATTATTATGAAAATTATAAGGTCTTAGAAATAAATGTATTCAAATACCTAAGGCATAATATTATAGTCAATAATTCGATGATGATATCAACAATTTGTGGTTGCTAATATGAATTTTGGGGGTGCTAAACACCCTCAAGAACTCACAAAATTGAGCCTATGCTGACCCGTGTTCTACATAATACATCAATCCGGCCTGTACAGTCGGTGGGAGGTTATAGTAGCTCCCCTGTACGCCTCCCGACGTCAAGGGTGCCCGCTTGCAGCGAGCGTTTATTCGCGACTATTGACCAGATAGAGTGCCGACCGACTGCATGTATTCCGAATCTCATGCTATTATGCAATGTATTTTGGCCAACGGCCCATAGTAAATAACATACATATATATTTTATTGATGACCATATTACATTCAAATATTGCGACAACATTACTATATAGGAAAATACTTCGCATGGCGCGAATACTCCTAAATAGTAAATAGCCCACAATATTGTCAAAATTAAAATAATATTTAGGAAAGTACCACGCGTATAATAATACTAACGAGACTCTTTGATAATAATAATAATAATAATAATAAAATAGTAATAATATTAATAACAATAATATAATAGTAATAATCAGTACGTGTTCAACCTTCGAACGTTTAACACGTGTGTATCGCGAGTTCGCATTTATCAAGCTTCCGATAGCACATCATAATTAAATCGTCTCAGGTAATATGAACATTATCTGAACATTAAATCCCCCAGCATGTCAGCCAACCCCCCCAAAGGGTCCTCACCTAGGTTAAAACCTCCTACCATAGGTGCAACAGCCCAAAAACAAAAAAAAAATATTAATATCAAACCTCCAAGTAAGCCTTCCAAAATTATTACAACACCAACTAAACTCAACAATCAAATCGCAAAACAACAATCCAGTCCGGGTACATCATTAGCGAGCGATAACGCGGCTGCTAATCACAGTACCTCCGCCGCACTATCTACATTGCATAATGCCTCTATCGCTAACGATCCCATTAGTAATATCGATAAAAACTTCACCGTATTCAATTATCCATCGACACCGTCGTCTCCAATTAACATTGGCAACATAAATATTCCACAACACAATAATACTGGTATCACATTTGCAACAATCGCCGCAAATGACAAAACACCGTCGAGAGACCAGGCGATAGTCTTCAACTCTATTGACGGCATCCCACAAAAAGATTATGTATTAGCAGTTGGCAAAATTGTCTCTCCTAAAAATATCACATTTGTGTCTAGAATTTCCAACAACCGGTTCTGCATATTCTTATCCAGCAAACAAATCTTAGATAACTTAATAGAAACGCACCCCTTCATAACAATAAATAACCAGGATTTACTATTCCGAAGATTAAACAACCCAGCCAAAAGGATAGTAATATCTAATGTCTGCCCGTCTATTAACAACCAAATCATCCTAGAACAACTTAAAATTATCAACATAACACCTGTCTCTCAAATAAGCCACCTCAAAGCTGGAATATTCGCGGAAGGGTACGACCATATTCTCAGCTTTCGTCGTCAGATGTACATAAAGTACGACGACATACCAAAACTCCCTAGCTCATTATTAATCTCTGCAAACGAGTCACAATTCCGCATTTTCTTCACTGACGACAAAATAACTTGTTTCATTTGCAAATCTACGGGTCACACATCCTTGACTTGCAAAAAATCGAATCTAAATAACACGGAAATCTCCTCCTCACCTCAACAGACAAATGCATATGAACATAATTCTACGCCAGAAAATCAAAAAATTGACCAAATCGATATCTCCCAATCTACTATCAGTTCTCAAATGCTCATCACCTCAGACGAAACGCTTCCAACTTGGAACATCGTCACCGAAACATCAGCTCACAAACGACAGGCTCCTCCAACAACATCTTCATCAGCCCCTTCCAGCCCCCTGCATTCAACTTCACAAGAGCCAAACCTCTTAGATCCAAAACACCACCACAAAAAAATTAAAACGATCGAACAAACTACTACATCTAATCACACTCCAACGAATCAAGTATCGTCTTTCTCTCAGCCAGAAATAACGAACAAGCCAGAAAACCGCTCTCGCTCAAACTCGCGCAAACGCTTTTCAGAGGAACTGGACACCCACCTTGATCCCATCAGTCATATTTTCAATGAACACAATCATACTAGTTTAAACTTCTCTCAATTTAAACATATAATAGAAATTATTGCTACTCTTGACCACCCTCTAGACACAATTCATGAATATGAAACAACAGGCAACCACATATTGGAATTACTCGAAAAAATCAGACCTTCACTTTTAACTGTTAAAGCTAAAAACAATATAACCAGGATAACAAACAAGCTCTTTAAAGCAATAGATAATGAAGCCTTCATGGATGCTTCTGAAGCTGAATCTGATACTTACTGATACTTTCTCATTCATTCACACAACTCACAATCATCACAAAAAGCCAGCAAAAAACAATCCAAAAGATCCAATAAAAAAAAAAAAAAGAATACTGTTGATAATGGCTAAAATAATCCAATGGAACCTTAATGGCTTCTTCAAGAAACAAGAAGAGCTTAAACTCATCATCCAAAACCACGACCCCCAAATTATATGCCTACAAGAAACAAATTTCAAAGACAACTTCACAGCTCACCTCAAAAATTACGAAGGATTCAGTAAAAATAGAATATTATCGGATAGAGCCAGCGGAGGAGTCACAATATACACAAAATCAAACATCCCAACCAAAAAAATAAAAATAAATAGTAATTTCGAAACAATAGCTGTATCCATAGAACTCAACGAAACATTCTCTATATGCAACATTTACTTGCCAAATCAAACGGATTTTTCTTTACCAGATCTAGAAAATATTATACGTCAACTCCCTAAGCCCTTTATACTAGTAGGTGACTTTAACTCACATAATGTAATTTGGGGCTCAAACTCCACCAATCCTAGAGGAAAAACTGTAGAAAAACTAATACAAAATGAAGATCTAGTACTTTTAAATGACTCAACTCCCACTCACATTAATTTTGGAAATGGCAACTTTTCTTGTATAGATCTTTCCTTAAGCTCACCATCAATTGCACAGAGGCTCGAATGGGAAGTTTTATCAGAAATTTATAGTAGCGACCACATTCCAATCAAAATTAAAATATCACATAGGCAAGTAAATAATAAACATTCAAATAAACATAGATGGAATTTAAAAAACCCAAATTGGAACTTATATACCGACCTACTAGAAGAAGAAACCAATAAGATTATAGACCACAACATCATTGATATAGAAGAGGCAACCCTCACCTTCACAAACCTCATAACTGACAGTGCAAACATGACAATAGGCACAACTAATCAAACAAAAAAACCCAGAGTACCCTGGTGGAATGAAAAAATAAAAGAAGCAATATCTAATAAAAATAAAGCACTAATAAATTTCAAAAAAAATAAAACCTCCGAAAATCTTATCGAACTCAAAAGACTCAGAGCCAAAAGCAAATTCCTCATAAAAAACAGTAAAAGAGAATCATGGAACATATACACATCCACCATCAATGGAAAAACGAGCCCATCACAAGTATGGAGAAAAATAAAATCATTAAAAGGCTTATCACGTCACAACGACATAGTTATTAAAGCCAATCAGAGTACCATAACTGACCAAACAGTAGTAGCAGATACAATAGGAACATTCTTTCATGAAAACTTTAGCGATAAATTATACGAAGAAAAATTTATAAACGAAATAAAGATCCCTAATGAGATCTCACAAATCAAGTCATCCATTGAACCCAATAACCCAGATCAGATAAACCTAAATCTCAAAATCACAATGGAGGAGTTAGAACAAACTCTGAGAATATGCAATAGTAAAAGCCCGGGCCCCGACACAATCCCTTATAGCTTCTTACATAACATGGGCACATCGTCAAAGCAACACCTACTCAACATTTATAATCACATATGGAAAAAAGGACAGATCCCCGTTAAATGGAAAATGGCCAATATAATTCCTATCTTAAAACCAGGTAAAGACAAACACTCACCTGAAGGATACAGGCCTATATCCCTCCTTAACACGATGGCTAAAATACTCGAAAAAATAGTGAACTCTCGACTGATTTGGTTCCTGGAAAAAGCAAAAATTCTATCTGACCTGCAAAGCGGCTTCCGCAAACACAGATCCACCATCGACAGCCTTATGATCATTAAGTCAGAAGTTAACGACGCACTCAACTCAAATCAGTACCTCGGTTTGATAAGCATAGATATTGCCAAAGCCTATGATTCGGTATGGAGACATAGAGTGCTACTAATACTTTCAAAAATTCTAACAAACGGCAACATGTTCAACTACATAAAATGCTACCTTAACTCAAGACAATTCTCAATCTCTCTTTCAAATGCCAAATCAAAAAACTACTCCCAGCAAAATGGAATTCCTCAAGGATCGTCATTATCGGTTACCCTCTTTCTTTTAGCAATAAATGACATAACCAACACCATAACATTTCCTGTAAAGGCCAACCTTTTCGCAGACGACTTTAATTTCTGGTGCAAAAGCCCTAATCTAAAAACGGTACAACACTTCCTACAAGATACAGCAAACAACATCGCAAAATGGTCAACACTCACCGGTTTCAAAATCTCCAGCCTTAAATCTCAATGCATCATATTCTCCAACAAAAGAGGCCAAAAGCGCATCAACATCCAGTTAAATGACATCCTCATCCCAAACGTAAATACAATTAAAATACTCGGAGTTTATTTCGACAAAAAAATCAACTGGTTACAACACCTTAAACAACTCAAGATATCATTGTCGAGAAGTCTCAACATCATGAAAATGATAAGCCACTCCACATGGGGAGGAGACGAAGAAACACTCATAAAAATCCACAGACATCTCATCAGAGCAAAAATGGACTACGGTGCAACAATCTACCAATCAGCCAAATCTCACCACAAAAGAATAATAGATTCTACTATAAACTCCAGCTTAAGATTCGCTATTGGAGCTTTCCGATCTAGTCCCATAGAAAGCATTCGAAACCTAGCACTTGAACCCCCTACTGAGCTCAGACACTTAGAAAAATCACTAATCTACGCTGCCAGCATCACAAGAAACTCTGGCAATCCAGCAAACAAATACATTACAGAAATTACCGAGTACGCTAAAGACCATGGTATAGAATTCAATGCGATAACGAAAGTTCAACCCCTCAAATTCCCCCCATGGGCCTTCAATATTGATATAAACCTGGATTTAACTAAATTCAAAAAAGAAGACACTTCACCCATGATTTACAAAAATCACTTAAACGAAATACTCCAAGATCACAAGAATGCAAATTGTTATTACACTGATGCCTCTAAATCTAGAAAAGGCGTGGGAATCGCAATTACTAACCATGACCTCTCCATCAGATTCAAACTCCCCGAAAGCTGCTCTATATACACGGCAGAAGCCATAGCAATACTCAAAACAGTAGATCACATATTACTTAATCACGATCATGGAAACCCCCACAAAAGCAATCTAATCCTGTCAGACTCACTTTCATCACTCACGAGCCTCAAAAACCCATTCAACACTACAGATATAGCAAAACTTATACTTCAAAAAACTAGTCTAGCATATCAGACAGGAATCAAAATTTCACTAGTATGGATCCCAGGGCACAGCGACATAGAGGGCAATGAAAAGGCAGACCAAGAAGCCAAGAAAGCAGCAGAGCACACTGATATACCCATATTAAATATTACTACATTCGCAGACATAAAAAAACAGATTAAAGAACTTACTAAAATCAAATGGCAAACACACTGGCTCGGACAAACCACTAAATTGAGAAAAATCAAAAACACCATATTCAGTTGGCCCAATTTCCTCACGAAACGAAGAGAAAGAATAATCATTAACAGACTTCGCATCGGGCATACTCGACTAACCCACGGTTATCTCATGTCAAAAGACGAAAAACCTATCTGCACAGCATGTGGCACCGAACTAACAGTCCATCATATCCTCACAGAATGCCGACAATACACAGAGGCACTCGAACAGCTGAACATCTCAACCACCTTAGACGCAGCCCTCGGTCCAAATGCAGACTCCTCACTCCAAATCTTGTCTTTTTTAAGAAAATATAAATTGTATGACTTAATTTAAAATTATTATATGTAAGATACCAAAAAAAAAAAAAATGTAATTAATGTAACGTTTATGACTAATGGCCGTTGTCGCCGATGTCTTTCGATCAATAAAAAAAAAAAAAAAAAAAAATAGTAATAATATTAATAATAATTAGTAGAAATTATGCGATCATATCGCAAGTATGGATAAATATATATATATTATTTATTGTATATTATAACCCTATTATTGGTTATTGTATATTATTTATTGTTTATTATACTTAAATAGCAATAAAAATACGGTGGTTATTATACGGATGTCAGAGGTATTTCGTTGTGGGTACTATTTACTATTTAGGAGTATTTCATAATTCATATTTCATAGGTTTAATATATAGGTACTGTTATAAAAAAAACAAAACCAACTATTATTTTTGGAAGTAAAACTGTATCAATCTATTGAGGATGCCGTATTCCTTATGATGGATTCTCCAACCAAAAATTATAATGATGTTGAAAACTATAAAAATAAAATATTATTGTTGATTTAATGTAGAACAATTAAAAAAAAGGTAGGTACCTATAGGTTTTCAATATTGAATCATATTCATAAAATATAATAAAATTAAAAATTTCCAGTTGAAGTGTTTAATAATAAGTAATAACAATCTATTATACGGCATATTAGTTATGGTTGTATAATATGTATATAGTAAATAAATATCATAATAATTAAAAATACTATTTCAATTATTCCAAAACATGTTTTTAACGAGATTTCAATAATATGTACCTGTCTAGAAGATTGAGATTTTCAGGCTAATATATTTAAATGTATACATTTTAGATCAAGATGTCAACCATATCAAGTTTTTGCGATATTTTGATGGTGAAAGTGGTTGGAGACCCTGATTGGAGGCAGAGATTCGTCGTGCTCAGCAACAGTACACTATGGATTTATGGGTAACCATGACTGTCTACTGAAATAATAAAAACGACGGATAAGACAATTCCAAAACATTAGTTGTATAGAATGATCGTTTTAGCACATACAATTTTGAATCAAGTCTATAGCGAATTTAGCAAAAAAATAAAAATCACTGGATATGAAAAACGATTCTTAGTAGAGACAGTCTGTTAGAATTTAAATCAGTTTTAATTTTTTAATAATAAAAAAAAAAACAATTTTGTCAAAAACTGTTTTATTATAAAATTTCCCATTCATCCCAATTATTTTGAAAATTACTTGGAATTTTCCACTTTTAACCCCCCAATACCAACTAGAACCAATTTTTAAATACCACGAATGTCGAAAATCAAACCATTTACTGCACCTTAAAGTGAAGTCAGATAAAAAAAAAAACAGAATATAATGGTAAAACCAATATATTCATCCTACATTCAGAATTTAAAAAGCTTAAAAAGAATAAAGACAATGCAAAATTCTAGAATCACATGTATCTATAGTTTTTCAAGCATAACATTTTGAAAAATAATGAGTTACAGCTAAAATAATCACTTTTTATGTTATGTTTATATATGCTTTTCACTATTATGTTTATATATATTAATTTAATTTACAGGGACGATCAAGATCCGAGAAGGACGAAAATTCATGCAGTGAGAGACCTGGCAGTATGCCGAAGAATTTGTGACGGAAGTCACCTAGTTTTGCATATAAAAAACATAGCTAAATTGGATTGGTTTAAGATTAAATTCAACACAGAGAAACAACTAATCGCTTGGAAAAAACGTTTGCGACAAGTAAAAGAAGCTTGGAACGAAGAGACTTATTTTCAATATCTTAATCAAAAATCTCAGCTTAGATGTAAATGGACTATTTTAAATCTCAATTTATTAGTATGTTGATTTTTCAATCGGAAATTTGTATTTTATTTACAGCTCCATATGAGCCATTGACTAGGATAAATCAACAGGTACGACACTCATTCTTACAAACATTATAATATATACACAGATATCTATATTTTATATAATATGGTAATATGATATTATACTCTAACATAATATATAATTATATAAAATGTGTATCTGGAAGATAGATATGAAGTATTCACAATTTTAAAATCATTTAGATAAATCCTATATAAAGTATATAATATTATATTTATCATATAGATAAAAGTATTTTATTATTTATATTAATTAATTGATTTACAAACATCCAGGTGCCTAGTAATAAACTATCAAAGCCTCCACGTATGCCATTCTCTAGGAGCCGTTCATTACAAGAAATAATAAGTTGGGAAAAGTTACCCATGACACTTACTCAAGTAAACAAGGGTAAGCTAACCAAATTAAATTAATAATTAACTTAATGCCATGTGTTTAATACTTAAATGCACCCATAAATATATTTTACACTTACACATTACATTTATTATTATTATCGTGAGTTACAATCGCAGAATATTTTTATTAGAAATGCTTTGTGGAATAAACGACATAGATGCAATTTTAGTAAGAGTACGATTATCAATCTTGGAAAACGAAATGGCTTACAACAGAGAAATGGACAAAATGCTAGTCGCTTTTAAAAAACGGGCACTGTGGCCTGATTATTTTCTGATGGATGACAAATCGTTAATTGAACAAACGCTATCCAAATGTAAGCAAGAGTTTGTTTAATTACCTGACAGTAATCTCGTAATTGGTATTTGGTATATTATAATGGAAAGGAGTATGGTTAATTTTTTTTAGTGAAGGAGAGTTCAGACACTCTTTTGCACGATGTTGAAGACATGTGGCCAGACGCTCCTATGGTATTACAGAGTTTGGACGATCTAGCTGATTTATTAATTAAACACTTGAAATCAGTGGCGAGGACCCGAATGATTACCTACTGCCATCTTCTACGGGATTTTAGGCCTTTCTTGCGCAATAATTTGTAAGTATAATGTATACGTTAGGATTGTAGCGGATAATTATTGAATAATGCAGTCATTAGTCGAAAAATATAAAAATATTCTGCAATACCCCTCCCCCCCCCAAAAAAAAAATAAAAATAAAAATTCAATGTTATATTAGATTTGAAAAATAAAATAAAAATGTATGTCCGAAAGGTTTTTTTTTATCCATTGAAGAATATAAGGAATTAGTAAGTTAATGTAAATATATAAAGTGATATTATATTGTACTGCTGTTAAAAATTGATTTTTAAAACGACATTATTGTTGCAAGTCTTCTTCATAAACCAATATATTATATTCTTCCTAGTGTCATAATATTTAATTGAGTTGTTTCACAATATTAAAATGTATTAATAATATTTAATTTTAATCGCAAGACTAGTTAATGATATTATATCCTCTTCATCTAGTAAACTTGTTGATTAAAACGCATACCTACCTTGGAAAATTGTAGGTGTAGCTATGACTAGTAATATAACGTGCTGCAATATTTGATCGATTCAATAGGACCTTATACCATACAGTTCTATATCACCAATTTGCACATTTTCCATCTGTCAACATTGAATACCAGCTATACCTACATTTTATAATAACGTCCTCGTGCACCTTTTTATTTTACCATCAACAGAGAGAGCGTGGACGACATATACACGGACGTGTACAGCGAACACTTCTACATGGAACGAGCGCTTCTGCCAATCTTCCGGGTGTACAAGCTAAAAGGCATATCCAAGAAGCTGGCGGTCATGCTAGCCACCGAGAAGGACGCCAACAGCGCACGTTGGAACAGGCTGTTCGACCTGTGTCAGGAGGTACGTGTGAAAAGTCTGCAGTTAATCGCATTCGAAACGTGCATTGTCATAACGATATAATATTATAACAGTGTATTGTTATATAATAGTACTATACTTGCATATAGAGAGATCACTCGAAACGCAATCCGTATAATAATTGGTTGTTTATACCGGTAAATTCGAGTACCTACACTTAAATGCATTTTTTTGCTTCTGTTCTCTTTTCCCGAACAAACACTCGACCAAGGCCAATATCGATTGTAAACATAATCCATATAATATCTACTGTCTTTGCATATATTTTATCATTTTGTCCAATATAGGCGCCCACTATAAGTATAGGTATACCAGTATACATTCGAATACGGCGTGCTATTATGTCAACGTATGTGACGTATATATTGCTTGTGACGTAATTTATTTTAGTTATTAAGATATTGTATTCAGTATAGGTATTTATAATATGTGTATAATGTATGCTTGACAATGGATAATAATTGTATAGTCATGCGTAATCAATTGGTTTAGATTTTAAGCTCTGTTTTTGAAATATTGAAGTTTTTACTGGTTGCATTACATAATAATATTATGCAGGCTGCAGCGTTAAGATAATAATTGTTTTAAAAATCGTGCATTTGATTGAGTCCCCGTTTTTTTTATCATTAACATTTTTACTAGTGTACAGACAGTAGGTTGAATTAACCGCACTATATATCTAAAACTAAATATATATTCAATTCAACTATTGAGAACCGATCGTTAAGTATAAAATATTTGGCGATTATATAAGAATAAAGAATTCGTTTGTATTTTAATCCATTAACTACTTTTTGCAGGAAACCAGTGTGAATGACATCTTTATTAATATTGATATCTAATATAAACTTATCTTATAAATTCTTTACTACAAGTCATAAATCAAAGAAATTGTTTTAGATTAAAACAATAATCGTACCTACAATACAGGGTGATTTTTTTATTATTGAACACTCATTATTTCAAGAAATGTAAATGTTTTTGTAAATATTATTTTACATAGTTCCAAGTTGCTTACAAAACAACCTTTTTCTTAAAAAAATATATTTCCAAATATATTTTTCCATATATTTTTTTAAGTTTTTTACTTTTTTGAACGATAACATAGAGTTTTAATTTCATATTCTAGAGCAGAATATTTGTCTTAGTATTTCGAAACATAAAAATCGAATTTAGGGTGGGTAGTTTATGAGTTATAAGTATTTAAAGTTAGATAGCTGAGTAGTGGACAAGCATTTCGCGGGGTGACGGGGTAACCCCGTATCACCCCCACTCCGCTTATCAGAACTTTAAGTACTTATAAGTTATAACTCATAAAATACTCATCCTAAATTCGATTTTTATATTTCAAAATACTTAGACAAATATTTTGCTTTGGAATATGAAATTAAAACGTTATGTTATCATTCAAAAAAGTAAGAAACTTAGAAAATTATAAGGATAAAAATATAATTTTTTAATGAAAACTTTGTTTTGTAAACGACTTGAAAGTATGTAAAATAATATTTTCAAAAACATTTACTTTTCTTGAAATAATGATTGTTCAATGATAAAATAATCACTCTAATGTAAAGTAACCACGTCACCACCCGTACCTACTATTTATATTATTTTTCTGTTCTATGAAGATTACACTGTAATTTATTATTACATAATATAGGTAATAGATTATAATCTAACCTAACTAGGTATGAATTCGGTTGATGTTTATGACTCCTACATCTACAAACAAAAAAATGCAGTATAAATTTATATTATACTTACCTATTGCAAATGTATCATACAATATATAGTAACGTATATATTATGTAGTCTCGTAATTTATCGTGAAAGATCAAAATATTCAAGAAACAATTTCCATAATCGCCACGAAAATCATATAAAAATACATCGTAATATAATATGAAAGATTGATGACAATTATAATGTTAAAAATACCTACTGAAATTAGATATAGCACCGTCCGCCACAGTTGGTTACACATAAAGAAAAAAAACGATATTCAAAACGGTTAAGTACTCGTTCATATTTCTTTGTATAGCGTCTACATAAAATAATATACAGGATGCTTCGATTTGCTGTCCCTATCAATAAAATGTTTGCAAATTTTTTTTTTACAAGTGCCTATTAATTTTTGCGACGTATTATCTACTAAACTATTGTATTGTAAGGAGCTACAATATTATTATTACAGTTGATGGTATATTTTTTGATTCCCTACCTACTCAAATAAAAAATGAAAACATTTTTTGGTGAGGGTGATTCTAAAAATCCGAAATGGCCAATTTATTAGAGTAGTAAGTTTTGAAATACAGTTTTGCAGTTATTGAGCTTGGACAAAAAAGTGAGATGTGTAGAAGAGTATAACGTGCTGTAGCTAAACATATTGTACGTTCTTGATATCAGCTTTTGCGTACCTATATATCGTACATGTATGTACAATTTAAACACACTGTATACACCATTTGAATGCCATAACATACGAGAGTGGATTGGGTTGGATTGTACGCGTTGTATAGAATATAATATGTAAGACAATATAAGCTTACATTATTACATATTACACTTAAAACGCTTTTGCTCGTCACCGCTGCAGCAGTGCATTGCGCCCGTGCATCCGCTGCATATGAGCAGCAGTAGCGATTATAAGAGTATCACAGCATAATATCGTTTTTCGTGTGTAATTGCAGACGCTGACCGAGACGTACGGCGAGCTGTCCAGACTGTTCGGCGACTATTACGCGCTGAGCGTGACGCAGTTGTTCGCGTTCAGCGACAAGCACGCGGCGTTCGAGCGCAACGGCAACATGAGCCTGTTCGAGAAGTTCGAACTGGCCAGGGAGGTGAGCGAGATATGCGACTCGGTGGTGCCACTCATCAAGGTCGTAATCGTGGAGGGTGGCAAGCGGGGCGACGGCACCGCCGCGGCCGTGTCGGACGACGTGGTGGCCGCTGTGGAAGCCGCGGCGGCCGGTCAACGGCGCAGATGTGGCTCCGACTGTTGGGACGATAATAACAGGCGCCAAAATCGGGACGGGGCCGCCCGACCGTCTGAGGAAATTACGTGCAAAAATCCGTTCGGAACCATCATGGAATACGACGTGGACAGAAAGTCGTCATGCCGGAAGAATTTCGGCGTCCGCGGCGGCAACAACAACGTCAAGAACAAGCAGAGGAAGACCGCGGCATCAGCGTCCGGAAAGTGCATCGAACTCAAGGTGTACTCGCGCTCGGTCAATTATTTCCACGAACAGATCGACGAACAGGCGGTGGCCTGCAGCGGTTTTGTCGCGACGCGCGTGTCGTCTTCCGCCTCACTGCCATACTGATAGGTTGCATATAATGTATAAAATTATATGTATATAATATGTATGACACGTATGTTTGTTTTTAGAGAAAGACAGTGCTTGGTAGTAGGAGGGATGGGGTGGTTTCATCCTCAATTACAATTATTTGAATTTGTTATTCTATTACCGGACGGGTCTAAGACCAACATTGTTTTTTAAATAAACATTACGCCTACGCAACTTCACACATTCACAGACACAGACACAGACACAGACACAGACACAGACACAGACGCAGCCACAGACACACATACACACACACACACACCCGTGTTCGAGCTCCTGGACGCCTGAATTATACGGCAATATCGGCACTCAACAATATAGGTACACACCGGTTCGTGCGTGGTCTACACTCATTATGTGCGGCGAGCGCCATCTGTATGGTACTGATATTTCGGTGTAATGTATGCCTACCGTCGCTACCAATTCGGTATTTGTCGATTCGCAACAATGTAATGATTCGAGCAGTGATTTTTTTTGTTGATATTTTAGTGCCGAAAACGGAGAGAACAAGATTAGCACTTTTTGTACGAGTTGAGTATAAAATTACTTATACCTACCTGGCTACCTACCTAATAATTATTGGCGATAGAGTATCTCAGTAATTTTTAGATAAGGCTTTTATAATAGCCGACTCACGATGTCATATCATGAAATATCAATAATTTAATCATATTCATATACCTAATATCTTAATATCTTAATGAATATAGAAAGAATACTGCAACGCTAGTTGAATCTAACGCAAATAAAAAACTAACGATATAGAGAATATTATATTTTGTTACAATTATTATAGCTGTCAATAGTTTGTATAACCGCGGTGTGTTAGGATTACTCTATGCGGTTACCTATGGTAGATACGGTACTTACATATACCTATCTAGTTCAACTAGTTGTATAATTTTTATATAAACGCAAACGAATACGATAACCAAAAACAAATTGTTATTAATTTTAATATGCCATGTAACAAAACTCGTATCAATAAAATATTATAGTTGTATAAAAAAGCAATCGCACACATTTTGTAAACGCCATTATATTGTCAATAAATAAATAAACGTTCACAGAGGGTTCAATATGTTAAAATTATTACATACTATACATATAATATACAATCGTACATTCGTACCTATTATTAGTGTCAATATTATACCTAGTGAATAATATTAGCTCAATTACAAAATAAAATAAAATCATTGAAATATGTGAAATGTTCATGAAAATTATGTAATAATTAGGAAAAAAGGACCTATTGTAGAAAAAAAGAAATATAGTGATAAAAAACCTATACAAAAATGCCTTATAAAAATATGTACCTATACTTCATTGCAATCAAAATGATTCAAAACAACGAAAACGTATTTATATTATACTAGAATTATCTTTCTATTACACCGAAATAGCATTTTCTACAAATCCGGTGCTGCTCGGATATTCCGTCTAACGACATATTAATTCTTATCGGATATCGGGATATGCCATCTACCTACATAATAATATGCTGATCACATAGTGAAATACACATATTGTGGATATTAGCCTGATGCCTACAAAACTTAATTTCACATTTATTTAGGTAGTTACTATGGCTGCAACTTGTTAGCGCACATTTTATAATTTTTACCTGAAAAATCGGAACTCATTTGCGCACACGGTTATCCTAAATGTACAACTGGTTTGCGCACACTAAAATAAGGCTATATGACATAAGCGCCAAAGGTGCAAAAATGCAAGACTGGGCATTAACAAGTTAAAAAGTTAAAGTTAAGTTAATAAGTTAATTTTATATTAACTATTTAACTTAACTAGTTACTTTTGGCTTTTCATTAACTTAACTGTTAACTGTTAAAAATGACATATCATTTGCGCCAAAATAAATATTTTATATAAGTAGTTTTTCTAAATTGATATATCTTATAAAAATGATATTATATATGTATACTATATTATACTAATATTATTTTATATAAATAGTTATTTGAAAATTGCTGTCTTAAAAGAATATTTTTATATAGAATATTAGAATATAGAATAGTTTCTATATTTTTGCTCTTTAAACAAAATACACACAACACCTTTATTCGTAACAGTTTTTGTAAAATCCATTTTAACGAATGCTTACGAAATAGGTACCTACTAAACAATATGTTACAACACAAAACTGCTCACACACGACTGTCTATGTGACAATCTATCGTAATCAGATTATACATTTGTCGATTAAGATTAAACGTTTGGAGTATGAACTTGGAGTATGAGTTTATGTACGATACGATTTATTACTTATTAAGAGGGTATTAAAAGGTCAGGCCAAAAGGTAACTGTGCGCAAACCATGTGCATGTTTACGGCTCAACTGTTCCCAAACGAGTGGTAGTTTTGTGCCCAAAAAAGTTGTCTTTTTGGTATTTGTGCGCAAACCAGTACCGCCCGTTACTATAGACCTGCAAGGGTCATACCTTTTCGACCCGGTCCGGTCCATCAATTTTATCGGTGTTTCCGAATTGCGGACAAAGTGACAAAAACCATGTGAGTTGCGGACGAAATCTAAAAAGGTAACATACGAATTGAGGACACAAATATAAGATACTAATTGCGGACAAATTTCCTATTATTATTTTTGATATAGCGATCGTGGACGTTGGGAAATTACTGTTTGATATTAACGATTAAGATTGTGCCGGTGCTTTTGAAACCGCTGCCTATGTTTAATCAGTTTATCGACAACCATACTCGCTTGCTGTTCGTTAGATGTTCGTTTATTTTCTGTATAAAAATGTATAGTGAAAAACTCAAGAGTTACATGTGATTGACGGGTTTAAGCTCCGTTTTCATCGCATAATGAAAAATGAAATTCAACGGTGGGCGTGTACAAATAAAAGGTGTAGTGCATTTTTAAAATTTAATCACCCTAATATATATCGATTGATCGATTCCTTAAATGAAGTACAGACTAGTAGCTATATAAAAATGAATTGTTTTGCTGTACTAAATTTAAAACGAGCAGAAAAAACTATTGAAAAGGAGGCATTTATTAGCAAACAAATGTTGCATTATTCACGTGGTGAAATCAGTAGAATATCATATATACAGTCTGTTTGAAAAAAAATTTTACCACAAGATCTATAAAAACTATGACGATAATCTATAAATATTTTATAAACAATTTTTTCCACAAAATTAAAACAATAAATAATTCAACAACATTTTGAAAATAACGATTGCTCTTTTGCAAGTCACAAATATTTTTAACCCCACCTACCATTTTTTTTGGTAGCTTGTCCTAAGTCCTGAAAAAGTGGCGAAGGGAAATATTTGTGTCCACAACTAACGTGGTTTTTATTAAAAAAAGCTCTGTACGCAATTATAGTATTATGACAACGAAACTTGTGTCCGCAATTGTTATAATTCCTGACCTGAATAATTCGTCCGCAACTAGTATGTGTCCAATTTTATCCTCAGGCCCGGCCTAGTCCAAAAAATATTGTGAAAAAAAATATAATATTATTATGGTATATAAATAGCTTATTATTATACCCACCAATCAATATATTATTATATTCATTGTGATTGTACCTACTATCTATAGTATCTATATCCATAGAGTATACTCTACATTGTACATTGTATATATATCTAGTATCTGTACCAACGTCAGTTGTATCATTATTATTTATTATTTTAAATTCTGATTATTTATTGTCGAAGAAAAATCCTTATAAAGCCCAGTCCAACCCCTTATTTATTATTCGGAGTCCAGCCCGGCCAGGCCGTAAAAATTGTACAAAAAAAAGCCCACGCCCGGTCCGGAATAAAATTCCAAGACTTAAAAAGCCCGGTCCAACCCTTCATTTTATTTCAAAGGCCATGCCCGGTCCAATGTCACTACGGGCCCTTGCAAGTCTTGAATAGTTACTAGCAACTAGCTGAATATTACAAGCCTTCGCCCGTGAATAGTTTTGGCTGATTTGAGAGGGGTTAAGGTGTGAAATAAATAATAAATAGGTTAAAATAAATGTGGTGGTTCATTTTGGATAGTATGAATCTATATTAAATACTTATACAGTTACACAATAAGTAATTATCTTAATATCAACAATCGTAATTAAACATTTTAATACAAACTATGTACTGGTAACTAACGAACGGAGCTGTTCTAAACTCGTTTAGAAACCTAATAATGAGACCTGACATGAAGGAAAAAATATTTTCTAAAGATATTTTTTCAAAAAAAAGAATGTAAAAAAAATTAATCTTAGCACTATAGCGAATAAACCCGATAACAAAAATAAAAAAGGATTTTTTTAAAAATAATTTCTACATTTTTATTACGATTGTAGACCGTAAGACATAATAAGTGGACGATGGACAGATGCTTAAAAATGTAATCAACCTCTAGGCTGAATAGACAAATTAAAAAATATGTTACATTTTCACTTATATATTATTAAGTTTTTCTGTAGTCAGACTTTGAATAAACTTCTTTAAATTTTCTTTCGATTGCAACAAAACTGGATGTTCTTTCATTTGTATTATTGTTATTAAACCAGTAACAAGTAATATTAGTATCTGAAAACAAAAATCCATTTTTTTAATCTTGTTTATTGTATTCAAATAAATTTAAGAATAATTACAGAATTAATAGAAAGCATACTTACCGATACAACAAGATTTAAATTTATATTGAATATTCCACATGCTGTGAGTTCGCTTGATTCAAAAGCTGATATTTGGTTCATAAAAAATTTAACCTAATAACATAGAAATATAATATCATAATAACTTCAATGGTCCTGTACTCCTGTGGCTTGTGTTAGTTAATAAATTAATATCATAATATTATCGTCTTTATTAAAGCTTACACGAATAATTAACACTTACAATGGGGAAGTACAATTTAAGTTATATATAATAAAACTTTTTATTTTATTTACTTGGGTTTTTAGGTTTGCCGATAAATTTGAAATCTTTATT